GGCATTCAGTTAGGCATTACCGGGCTAGCATTACCTTTCGAGATATCACGGGTTGTTGCGTTCAACTCTTCAGTGGCAGACGTCTCTACGGCAACCGCCTCAAATTTATACCCGTGTGCTCGAGCCTCTACAACTGATTGGTCAAAACACTGCCTGCACGTGTTGCACTCCGCTTTTCTGCAGAGAAAGGCGCTCGAAACTATCTCTTTCATGCAGAAAATACAGCCCGCTGTGTCTCCTGCAAGGTGTGTAACGTTAGCCACCTGGGTTTTTAAAGCACTGTGTAAAGATTTTTTTTTTTTTTTGGTTTCCAAACAAAATGGCAACGCGGTGTCACGGCAGGATCCAGGAGGATTATCGATCGATAAGGGTACCGACTGATCAGTGCAGAGTCACCGAACCTCCTGTAAACAGTGGCCGTCGCTTGAGCGCCTGCCTGTTGCTGTGTGACCGCCGGAGGAGGGCTGGGTTAGTGTCTGTGGATGGACGGGAACGGAGAACCGGGATGTGGGCGGAGCGGTGATTTCACGTGCTGACCCAGAAACGGAGAACTTGCTTTCACTGAACAACACAAAAGCTTCCAACCCCTCTCTGCTAGGAACAATTACTACATGTATTGCGCGATGTACCACGATTATATTTCACTTTTGTTATGTTATAGAATGCTAAACATTGTAAGCAATAACTGGACTTGTGTAACATCTCACTGCCTTCAAAGATCTGTTTTGCATAGTAGAGGTTTGTCCGGCATTGTTAAGCCAGAAAACGCGAAAATACAGAATGACCGACATGAAGAATCACTTTTTTTTTTCTTAGGATAGCGACAGTTGAGGGTAATTAAACGAGAGGCGTGAATGTGGACTTTACCAGGGTGACTCAAACCTCGCATATGTGTACTTCCTGTAAACTGGAACATTTGGAAGAGCTCCTGAACACCTCAGCAGGAGGTCGGTGTCTGTGCCAGTTATAGGCTGGATTATTGTCCTCACGACGAAATACAACTTTTCAAAGACAAGTTTCAGTGAAATAACAGTAAAACTTGATTAGTATTAATTGGCAACATTGATTGCATGGAATCATACTGAGATCAGTTCAAGTGGGGTTTACAGAACCAGAGCAGTACCTAGTGAGCTGTTTCAGCTGATGGGAGATAATGGGTCATTATTTTCATTCAATCAAGAAAAATAATTAAGCCTTACTACACTTTTAGACTACAGATTACTAACAAATATCAAATGTTCACCCATAACGGTGTGTACAGTGGACTGAATTTAATGTGATATACTTGTCACATCCTGTTTATATGCAAAGTGGAGGGATTAGTAAACCAGTTACAGTACAAGGGAAAAAGTAGCATAGGTGAGCACAAATCCTCCATTAACGCATTCTGTTAGAGGAGTCATTTTAATCATATTTTAATATTTGCAAGGATGCACAATCTGGATTTCTTTCAGCCACGATAACTGATAATTACCTCGCTTTCATGTCCGATACAATAATGGATCATTTCAAATTTTTGTATTTTTAAAAGAAGTTCATAACCTGTAGTTTAAGAAAAGCTTAGATTTAGTGATGGATAATACTCTGTGATGGACTCTCTGATCCAATCTGATCTAACTGATATCACGATTGTTAACACAACTTCTACTTCTAGTAAAGTACGTCAGAAAACTTCACATATTTACTTTGGCTTTCATAGAAGTTAAAGGCGATCAAACGTTTTGCATAAGAATTCAAAATAAATTATTATTATCGAACATTGCAGCCCCAATGTATATTGTGCATCCCTAAATATTGGTTTCCTGTGTATAATCTCAAACATATTTAGGCTAGTCGATGCATTTGTCACTAAAATGATAGATTCTGTCCCTTTATTGTTCAACACACTTTAGTATTTTTAATTAATTAATTAATTTTATCTTCACTTAAGGAAATGTTTGAAAAGCTATTTGCAGCACATTGTGCTTTATGTGTTTTTCTTTAATCACAATTAAAAACAACATTAGTCAATCAAAGTGGCACTTTTAAAACACACCCAATATTTCAGCTCATAAATGAAAGGACTAATACCTCTTTCTCATTCATTTACACTTTTCGTCCACAAGATGGAGCCATGGGCAAAAAGGTGGGGTTTAAAACATCCTCCAAAAGCGTTGTCCTGAAGATGGAGACCTGATGGCATAGGCATGTGGAATGTTGTTGTGGTTTGTGTTTCTGAGTGATTGAGTGAAGTATTTGTATGGACGACAGATTTCATTGTGATGTGACATAATGTTATTTCACTCCCGAAAGCAAACACAGGAAGTTGCCTCTGTTATGAAGGATTTGGTCTGTTATGGACCAATTGTACATCTTTGCATGTCCAAGGGAAATGATGGGATTTATGTTATTGCAACCTGAAGATTTGTAAACTGTATATCATTACTTTTTATACAATCAGACAGTGATAGCCGCCATAAGTAACCCATATAACTGATGGGTTGTGTTGTAAATTGTTCTACGCTTCATGCCACAGATCATCCACAGTTTCCACAATAACCACTATGGTTATACAGTTATATTCCGTGCTGTAGCAAAGCCGTTAAGTGCAGGGGGATTTAGAAAGTGAAAGGAATGGGTGGTATGTCAGATTGTCAGATGTCCTAAATGAGTGTTGAATCTGACCATAAATACTGACACAGTGTCTGTTCCCCCGACAATGACAGGAAGCTTGTTCAGAAGGGAGGAGGTCATATAGGAAAAGGATCTGCCCCCTGATGTTTCAAATGTGAGTAGTAACAATGGATATTTGTTTTTGAATGAATAAATATAAACTCCTTGAACCAAGCAAAGTTTACACCTACTTCTGCTACTCAATGGTAGAATGTAACCAAGTTATTGCAGTTATGTAAGGAAGTATTTCATTTTATGTTTTTTACTTTATACTTTTACAACTACATTTCATATTTGTGTTTTGTACAGTTTTCATACTGAGATGTGATGACCTTATAAAATTTGATGCATTTCTGCAGATTAAACAATTCAACAGTAAATAAAGTAGGTAGAATTAACAACTACAACTTTAAAAAGCTGCAGTCTACAACATTTGATTCTATTACAAAATTACAGATGATACATGATTATATGGCTCGGTCTTGAACAAAATACAGTGTTAAACCAGATAAATAAACATAAACAAAACATTTGTTTAAACTGAAAACTTAAAGTAAAACTTGTTAAAAAAACATCTTGATCAAGTAGCTATAGTAATTTTACGCTGATTTCATTTTGTAATGTTTACTTTGAAACACTGTACTGTCACTTAAAATTACTCTAAATTACTAATCTTTTTAACTTACAAAATGTATGTTATATAAAAAAGCATTTTTTTAGCATTGCAGTGTATTCTGTCTTCTCTCCCAAGCTTGGCACAGAAAGTTTGCTACAGGAAAAGCTCCCTTCCTGAAACACAGTTTTTCATAATCATCAAGCCAAAAGATGTAATCATAAATAGGACATTTTACCAGAAAAGTACATCCCTTAGGTCCTAACAGGACGGCAAAACAAAAAGTAAACCTCATTCATAAGTCGGTGTTTCTTATTGTAACAATTCTGCCATTAAGATCAGAAATGGTTAGTAATCTATTCCTGAACATCATGGCAAGAAACACCACTTGATTACTGATAATATTTCTTTCATGTTAACTCTGAAGCATTCAGACTGGTAAAGAGAGAGAGGGCATGAGGATGTGACGGGGCAGGGAGAGCAGGTGACATGGTGAGCAAGAAAAGGAGCAAATATCGTTGGTTAAGGCCGAATAAGGACACCACAACAGTCTAATCCTAATGTACAGACTCCTGTTGGCCTCCACATTATTGTAAAAACATATGAAGTTCATTTAATGTGTGGCTATGACCTGAGCTTCCATTACTACTACTACTACTACTAATGTCGCTAATTATAATATGTGCATTTTTAGTTGTCTGTAGAGGACAGCAGACTCTGCATATCTGTGTTTACCAGACAATTATTTTGTAATTGCTGAGCAGGTTTTAAGCTGTTTAGATCACCTACACAAATAAAAATGTTTAAACTTTTGTCAATATGATGCTACACACAAAAGCATGTTTCTTGGCCCTCTTAAACATGAAGCAACATTTTTAAGTCAAATGTAACTGAAATATATTAAATCTAAACTTTGTTTATTCAAAAGATTAAACATGAGGTAAATATTGTTAGGATAAACTGAATGCAAACAAACTGAGTAAACTTGATCCCATAAGGAGGCAATGCACATCACACTCACATTGACTGATACGTTATTTGATAGCCAAATTTTTGTCTGTCTGTAATATTCATACTGGTTTAAATCAACATCTTGATAGTATTTCTTGTCTTTGGTGAGCAAGAGTTTTGTGCAAAAGGAATTAAAGTCCCAAACAGAGGCCTGTTCCAAATATAAGACCAGGACAGTTTCTCACACTGAGTTCAGTGACTGAAGCAAATAAAAGCCTGGGCTATTAATTTAAGTTTTACAGTACTCTCAGTATACAGTACACATGAAGGCACATATTTGCTAATACATTCCACCCACCTGAGGTGCTGACAGAGGTGGGTCTGATTGTTCAAAACTTTTTTTTTTAAAGTGAGTATTTAAATGGAAAACTGAAAAAAAACAGGGGCAGAGTGCTGGTTACAAACAGGAATCTGTTATTTACTGGCTTTTCAATTTAAGTGTATTCTTAATGTGCCCCATATGTCGCCGGTAAAAGATGGAGAGCCTGTTTAAGTAACTGAAGATGTTTGGAGTGGCCCAGTAGCATGTGGTTTGGTTTTTAAATGAATTCAAATGTAAATCGCCATTTGAATAAAACTCAGATGTGTTTCTGCTTTGATTTAGAGCATAAAACCCTGTAATACAAAAACCCCACGGTGTACAAAGATGAAAATCATCTCATCTTTCCTGCTACTGATAGGTATTTTAAATCAAAGTGAGACCATGTGAGAAACTGTCCTGGTCCAGTCAGAGTCATAGTGTAGTACCAAGAGCCAGCTGGAGTAAAGGTTTAACATTAGATTTGCCTTTTTTGTGACCGTTGTGTGATTGAGAAAGTATGAGACAGCAGATCCGTCTTCTTCACTCATCCGATAACTCCCTGCAACTAAAGTCAGCAGCAGTCCAATAACAATCCCTGCCCAAATCAAATATTTATAGTCCCAAAGACAGTGCTGGAACAGAGACAAAGCACAGGGGATTCTCACAGTGATGAGAGGTTATTCTATTCATTTAGCAAAATAACCAGCATTACACAAAAGCAGGTTGTTACAGGGTATTATATTCTTTTAATATTAAATTAACTCAAGGCTGCATAAATCCTATTAGAGAGTTTCTATCTGTCCATGTTTAATAGCAGTAATGATTCAAAGCTCTTTTTAAACTCATTTTAATTGAAGTGCGTTTAGCAGTGCATTGTAAAAAAA